TTTATGGACAGTCAAGGGGCCGAGCTCAGCGTCCTTCAGCTCTGCAACACCTCCTGCCCACACTCCACTTGTGTGCTCGGCCTCACTGGATCCCACGTGCTGCAGCCTGAACCCCAGGCACCAGCTTGCTGGCCCAGACCATCTTGGTATTTCCAGGGACAGGATGTTGGCGGGAAAAGGCAGGGGGTGTTTCTATGGAGCCCTGAGTCAACATCTCACAGCAGGAAGTGAAAACTAGTTTGACAGAAGTTGGTTGAATTCTGAGATTCACTTGGTTGCTACTCTCCTCACCTTGGAAGCAGGTGTGTTAGAGAAGCCTCCGGTAGCTGCTATTATGTTCCCACCTTCATCAGTCCCTTCGGTCTGAAACAGTATTCTCGGATGACTGAGCAAAGGCCTACCCCAGGCCTGAGCTTCCTGGTGTTCTGAGACACTTGTGTAATGAAGGCAAGTCCTGTACCTTCACTGAATGGGGAGGGTGGGTTATACTGACATGAAAACAAACTGCAGTAGTCTGCTTCTCTGCCGTGCCTAAGGTACCTGCATGGGACACAGCAGTTCTTGCTAACTTGCTCTGTCTCCCTTCCGTTCCACACTCTGAACTTCAGAGGTGTGTGCTGAGGAGGCTAGGATCCATAGCTGTTGGATCTGGTGGCCTTGTTCATTCACAGGGGGCTTCACTCACTCTCAGGGTTGGTGGAGTAGTTGTTTAGAGAACCTGACAACTTTCCAAACATGTCCTGGGGACAGTACCACTCCCAGATACTTGCTTCCAGCATATTGGAATGCCATAGCCCTTTCTGTCGTCTGGGGATTGGCCACAACCACACCAGAACTCTCTTTTTGCCCTGATAAATTTATGTTAATGACATTCAAATTCTGTTTGTCAGTCATACTGTTATTATCTGATCAAGTTGGAGACTAGACTCTCATTGTGATAATTTATGGCTCCTTGTATGCTGCATTCCCTTGTCTCATTTATCCTCTGTATGAGTCCTCTTCTTCAGGCTGTTTTTAAGCATATGAGACAGGAGGGTGGGTCACTGAGCTGAGGACGTGACTCTATTTACATCAGATAGCTTGTATCCTAGATACAAGATACCACAGGAGTGGGACAGAATGTCAGAAAGTATGAAGGAAATGGATTTAAATAAGGACCTAGAACATTCCACTTATTGATACAGCTATCTGGACCAAGGGAATATACCCTGTTTTTCCTCTTGGGACATCTAAGAACAGTCTTAATTAAAACAAAACAAAACAAAACAAAACTTATAAACCAGTGACTGAGACCCAGGTTCCAGCATAGAAAGACCCCTAATGTCAACTTCCACCTCTATCCATGGACAATAAATAACCCTCATTATCTGCACTTTTGATTCCATAGTTTGAGTTACTTGCATCAACTGTGGTCTGAAAGTACTACATGGAAAATTCTAGGACATAAAAGAAAAAAAACAACAACATATAAGTTTAGATTGTTCAAAGCTCCAAGTAGCCTGGAGAACATTTGATCCTGAGCCTACTTCTGTCTCCCCTGCACTGCGACCCTTCTCTCTGTCCCGTGTGTCCATGCTGTATGAACTATCCACCCACTTGTGACTCTGTACCCCTCTTGGTTATCAGGCTGATTGCTAGGCATTTGTGTTCAATTAGCTCTTGTGTCATAGGCAGGGGCAACATCTTTGTGTTCACATAGTCCTTGGGGGCGAGCCAGGCCTGACTCTTCACCCTCCCTCAGAGGGACGCTCAGCTCACTGTAGTCTGGCTTTCCTGTTCAGGGTAACAGCACCTCAGCCGGCTGAGCAACGCTCGGAAGCTTAACCAGTCAACATCTCTCTGTTGACTTTTTTAAAACGAATTTAGTCACTTCTCATAAAAGGAGATCCTCCCTTAGCTTCACGGGCTCTTACACTGATAAAGAAGAAGGAGGAAGGGGTCTTTCAACTCCCTCCTAGGTGTCAGGCTCAGGGTGGAGGGCAGGATGACTGGGCTTGGCTCCCTGGATCCTGGGGAGTCAAACTTGTCACTGTGGCCTCTGTGCTTGCAGGGAGTTATTTGGACACATCCACACCAATCCAGGCAGCTCCTGCTTTCTTGATTCATTATCAGAATGCTTCATCCTCATCTCCTCGCCAGCCACCTCCCTAGCTGTTGCCAGCTGAGTCAGTTCTGCTCCTAGAACATCTTCTTCTGCTTTAAGATGCAGAAACCACAGTGGACAGGCATTCTCGGAAGTGAGCAGCTGGGTGATGAGCGCTCCCTTCTCCAGGTCCTTTCCCCGCTTACCCGACAACACTCCTGGTCCTGCTCATGGCCTCTGGGGGCAGTGAGAGTGACTAGGTGTCATTGTGTCTGGGACCTCTGGGCTGGAGAGCTTTCTAGGCCACATCCAGAGAGACAGCTTTGCCCTGTTTCCCAAGTGGCTTATTCATGCAAAGGCCACACTGGTGTATGGTGGCCATAAAACCCTCTGTAAAGTAGTGTAGGAAGAGAGAATGGGGTTGAAGGGCCCAGGAATATAAAAATATAAAGTTATAGACTTAAGGAATGGAAACTGACAGCCATCAGCATGGCTAGCAAAAAAAAGATTAACCTTTAACTGGGCCCCTCCGTGCTTCATGATGGGCAGCTCTGTCAACAACCCAAACGTTAGTTTTCTTTTACTAAAGATTGCCCTCTGCAGCCCTGGGGTTAACTATTCTTCAGTAACCCCCTACCACTCACTATGGAGACCGAAGTTGACTTTTAACGAGTTCTCCGTGACAACCTGCCTTGCATTGTTTCGTATTCCCCCCACTATGGGAACCCAGCTATGTCGGGGAAGTTGCAGGTTTGGACGAACATCAATTAACCGAGTCAGGAAGGGCTGCAGGGATATAAAAATGTTGTTTAGCTAAAACCCCCTAAAACCTTGTTAATGGAAAACTGTAAAAACCTAAAACAATTTGTCTCTAAATGTTTAACTTCAAAACTGTAAAAATTCCTTTGTCTATGTCTCATGCTTACTCATTACTATAAAAAGAAGCTATAGCCCCCCTCCAGCTGCCATAGCCTCAGAATTCCAACATTGGCTGTGGTCTCAGCTAGCTGATAAGCTTTTGTGCCCTGTGGTGTTTATTTTATTTTATTTTTTAATTTTTTAATTTTTCTGGAATAAAGTTTGCTTCTGGTTTAATAGACTTTGGCGGTCTGTCCCTCATTATTGTGAGACCCTGGACCCAACAGTGTCAGGGAGACGCCCCTCTGCAGTGAGATGTGCACTTCTGGAATAACCCTGAGCTCACAGTAGAGAGAAGGACCAGACTGGGGCTTGATTTCTCTAGATTGAGGGGACCCTGATGAGATTCACCTTCCAGGCTTGTCTCTGCCTGTGTGACTCACACAGGCTGCGGCCATGGAGCCCTTGAAATCACAGCACAGCTGAAGCTGATGGCCTCGGAGATCTGTAAGTTTCCAGAGAGCTGTTAGATCTACTGACCGTCCATTGCCTCTCCTTGATTCCGTGAAAGCATTTGTCAGACACCCTGGGCTGTGTGTAGCTGCTGTGGTACTGCCCCTGGTTCAATGCTGAACTCACAGATGTGTTTATGGGGCTCTCACACCTCCAGTCATGGTTGGGTGGCCTTTGGGAGGGCCAAGCACAATGTAAGGGATGAGGTACAAAGAGGAACTACCAGAGAGGCATGAAACCAAGACCCAGGAGGGATAATAGAACAGCTGTGCTCACTGGAAGGGTCCTTCTATCCACAGTCCTCCAGGAACTGTGGTCAGCGCCTTCTCAGCTGCTGCTGTGTGCTGTTGAGAAACTATAGAAGTTCCTTGCTGTGGTGACAAAATGCCTGAGAGAGGCGACTTGGAGAAGGAAGGGCTTGTTTTAGGCGTACGGTTTGAGGGTGCTGTCCATCATGCTGTAAAAGTCACGATGGCAGGACCGTGAGGCAGCCGGTCACACTGCATTCACGGCCAGGAAGCAGAGGGGGATGAATGCCTGCCGGGGCTCAGCTCACTCTCTCTTACGCAGTCTAGGGCTCATGTTTATGGTTCTTCTTACTCAGTTGACCCAGTCTAGAAACTCCTTCACAGACCTGTCCAGAGGTTTGTTTCTGTGGTGATTTTAAAGTCCATCAAGTTGAGGCTCACAGTGTGTCTCCCATGCACCCACAGTGTTACTCCTCATATCAAATCAGCTTTCAGGGGAGCTGGCTGATGACCTAGGGTCCAGTCTGCCAATCTAGGAGGTCACCGTGATCTTGACCTCTGGTCACTTTGGTCTTGGCATGGAGTTATAGTGTGGGGAATGATTTAAAGTGATTTTTATCTATGGATTTACAGGCAGAAAACACACAACGATGTCTCACCTGGTGGGTCAGAGGGCTGCTTACAGCCTAACCAACTTTAGAACTTAAGTCGCCAAGGCCAGAGGGAGGCCGGGTGTGGAAGCAGTAACATTGCTGGAGTGTTTTCACTTCTTAGGGTAGAATGGCTATGTCGTAGGCCAGAGGTTCTGAGAACTCTCCACACGGACCTGGCTCCACGTTCAGAAGGGAGAGTCTGGCCCCGGCAACAGAGGATATAGTGCTGGTTTTATACCAACAGAAGAGGGAGACTCAACTGAGAAAATGCCCCCACAAGGTTGGCCCGTGGGGCATTTTCTCAATTGGTGGTTGATGTGAGAAGGCCTAGCTCACTGCGGGTGATGCCACCCCTACGCTGGTGGTCCTGAGTGCTGTATCAAAACACCCTGGTGAGCAAGCCATGAGGAGCAAGCCAGTCAGTAGCGTTCCTCCTTGGCCTCTGCATCAGGCTGCTGCCTTGAGTCCTGCCCTGACATCCCTGGAGGATGGACATGTGACTTGTAAGGTAACACAGACCCTTTCTCTCCCAGGTTGTTTTCAGTCGTGGTGTTTTATCACAGCAGTAGAAATACCAAGGCAGAAGTAAACCTTAGCTTAGTTCTCTTGACCTCTCAGTGAAACGTGTCTGCATTTCCCTCACAGACCCGGTACCTCTCCCCGCAAGCTCGCCGTCGGCTGCATGCTCTGCTGGCCTCCTGCTCCACCTCTATGCTGATCCTGTTCAACCTGGTGTTTCTCGGGGGGATTCACGTTGGAAAAATCTACTGGTACAGGATCTTCCTGCAAGGTGAGTGCGGCTCTGCTGCTGCCAGTTGTCTCCTTTGTATTGAGGTGCTGTGGTTGACTCGGGAGTCTTGGGAGAGCCATGCATGTGACATGTGACCCGCCAGGTGTCAGCTGGGAACAGCTTCTGCTCCACTGTGACTGCCGTGTTACCTGTTCTCAGGCACCTCATATCTGCTGCCCATGATGCTTGACATCCAAATGTGGGACCCCCAGCTCTCCTGCACCCTCCATGCCCTTCTGCATTAAGTCTAGCCTTATTCCACTCATGCTCTGAGTTTCTGCCAGCAACGCTCCTGGACATCCCCTTGTGCTGTCCTGGAGCTGTGAGCCTGGGTCTGGTGTCCAGCTCTGGACCTGGACATTTGTCTCTGAACGTCATCACCCAATTGTTCTGAAAAGGAACAATATACATGTTGGCTTATGTGTGTGTAGGCACATGTGTGCCATGGCATATGTGCACAAGAAGTCAGAGGACAACTTTGTGGAGTTGTCTCTCTCCTTTTACCTTTTCATGGGCCCAGGGATCAAACTCAGGTCTCCAGGCTTGCCCCGCAAGCACCTTCGCCCACTGAGCCAGCGCGTTGGCCCCGATGCTGAGGTAATCTTTTGTTTCATGCACACTGAGTGGGTTACCTCAACACTCACAGCAAAGCCACATCTGCAGCAGGTGGAATGCTACTGTGGGGCAGTTGTGAAAACTTTACAGTAATGGCGGACCATCGTTCTCTCTGGTCACCACTGGGACTTCTGAAAGGTGAGAATAGAATAGCTCTGAGTGTAGCTCTGTAGCCAGCTTACTGTGCTTCCAAAGAAAGGATCCACTGTATCGACTGTTCCACTTCCCCCACCCGTGCTTGGGTTTGGGGAGTCCTGGTCGAGCAGTGGTGGTGGGACTGGACGTGGCGGCTGGCCTGTCATCTCTGCATCGGGTCCCCAGGGAGCCAGAGATATTTTTGCTGCATCTTTAACAGCAGAAACGTTAGCCTGACGCAGCTGGTGTACCTGCTGTCAGTCATGAAGCAGATAGACTGCGTGGCTCCGTGGGGTCACGAGGTCCCATGCCTGTAAGCTTGCCACTGTAAAAGCCCCTCTTTGTTGTACTTTCTGGGACATTCAGCTCATGGCTCCTGCAGAACCTGGAACATTGAGGAGCACAGAGATGGTGGGGTGGGGTTGGGATGAGACTTTAGACCCCTTGTCACCTAATGAGAAGGCTCTGGTTTCCACTTCAGTAAATCACATCTATCAGGTGTTTGCTGTTTACAAAACACTGTGAACACAAGGATGAGGAAGGAAGCCTATTGCTGGGGGTGGTGACTCCACCCAAAATCCTAGCACTCAGGAGGTTGAGGAAGAATGTTCTAGGGTCTGAGGCCAGCCTGACCCTGTATCCATCCCATGAAGAGGTGGAGGAAATGAAAGAAACACAGATAAATACGGAAGTCAAATACAAATGTTCTCCACGGGACACTTGATTGGGGTAACCACTGTGCGGATGTCTGAGGGAACTGCTGGAAGCCGTTAAAGCAGAGGGGCTGACTTTCCTCAGGAGTGGTGTTTAAGCTAAGCATCAAGCAAGGATTTACCAATGTGCAAGAAGGTAACTAATATTGGCTGCCGTAGCAGAGACTCCAAATCTTGGTAGATGTCCACTGTACATGTTTATCACTCAGGGCTGAGGAGATGGCTCAGCAGGTAGGCGTCAAACCCTCAGCACCCATATAAAAGCAAGCTTGTGTGACCACACATGTGCCTGTGACTCCAGGGCTGTGCTGTGGGCAGGCAGGGATGGTGGTGTAGAGGTGGGGCAGGGGTGGTGGTGTAGGGGTAGGGCAGGGGTGGTGGTGTAGGGGTAGGGCTGGGTTGGTGTAAGGGTAGGGTGGGAGCCTGGAGATAAGAGGGTTGTTGGGGCTGGCCGGCTGCAGGCCTAGCCCAGCTTCAGAGTTAGTGAGAGACCCCATTTCATAGGAGTGGGGCAGAGAGTGGTAAGATACCTGGTGCTATCCCCTGCTCTCTGAACGCGTACAGAACATCCACACACTTACATATACACATGTGCCCACCCCACCCCCTACACATAATTTTATTCCTCTCATAGTTTGTGGCAAACCCAGTCACTTTTTCTAAGCTGTACTTCTAGGAGTTAGAATGTTTGATGACTGTCCACTGTCTTGTCTTAGCATCAGGGAAAAGAAGAGAACACGAGGCCAGTGCACCAGATACTAAATACCTTCGTGACACGTGACATTTCTGTTCACGTCCCATTGGCCGGAACCAGTTATGTTATACTCCCGAGGGCCAGTCTGGAGCTGTGGGAAACAGGCAGGTATGGCATGGATCAGTTGTGTATGTCACATGCTCACCCAGATGGAGGTGGAAAGTTTGAGTTGGATTTGAGGAAGAGGAAGGACCAGTGATTAATACGTGAAAGTCAAGTGCATGGAGCTGGCAGTCAAGGCTGTGGGAGTGGACTCAAAGCCAGGAGCTGCCTGGAATAAGACCTGGGGACAGACCTGGGGCGTGTTGGCCCTGAAGAGGGCAGAACACCATCTACAGGGTGCTCTTGCTGCTCCTGGTGGCAGGAGGCTCCCCGCACCGCTTGCCTGGCACCCTGCAGATCTGCCAGTATGTGGGGCCAGCACGTTGTGTGTCCTTCTGTGGTGTGTGGTAGCACACAGTGTTTTTGTCCTCCTTGGATTCAGGGACTCTGATTCTTCACACAAGACTGTGAAATGATTTCCCTTCGGGGTTCCGAAGCCAGGGGCTCTCAAGACAAACCCATCTGTTTCATGGGCTGCTGGGATTTTGTCAGCTGCCCCTTTTGTCATTTTCTTGGGGGTCTTTGGCCTGAATTCCCGAGTAAGGTCTCTCATGGAGGGAAGTGAGCCAGATGGTGCCACATCTCCCATCCTGTTAGCCTGGCTGTCTTACAATTTAGATCAACCTGATAGAGATGGTTGTTATAAATATTCATGCTTAGGTACAAGAAATAATTAATGAGTTAGTAGTATGCATCCTCAGGTCTTCCTGGAAGTGTTAATAGATCAGCATTCTAAAACTGAGAAGGAAAATCTGAATTCTGAAATCACCTGGCCCCCAAGGACCCCAGAAGGGCCCATTGCCCTGTGCACGTAGCTGCTGATGGATGTGTCAGGGCTTTGGCAGCCTGACTGGCTCTGACCTCTGACCTCCTGTTGCTCCAAGAGTCATCTCTGCACATGGAGGACATGATGAAGATGTGAGGGGACCTGTCTCCAGGGAGCGGAGCATACTCAAGCTTAGCAGGGTTTAATAGAAATCCCCTTCCTCTGTGCTGTGATGGACAGGGATTATTGAGGGTTTGCAAATGCCATCGTCTTAGTTACTTTTCTGTTGTGATAAAATGGCAGACAAGAGCAACTTAAAGGAGAAAGGGCCTTCCTGACTCACGGTTTGAGGGAACAAGTGCAGTCCATTATGATGGGAAGTCGTAGAGGCAGGAACTTGAGGCAGCTGGTCACATCTGTAGTCAAGAAGCAGAGAGAGATGAGTGCTTGTATTTATGAAGTCCAGGACCCCAGCCCATTGGAATGGTGCCACCCTCAGGTAGGATGGGTCTTCCCCAATTAGCATAATTACCATGGTTCTTCCCAGGCATGCCAGAGGCTAACCTATTCTAAATAATCTACACAAGTTGCTTGTGTATGCTTGAAGGCTTGCCTCCGAACTGATCCCAGATCCTGTCCAGTTGATAATATACAGTGACCATCACACTGTTGTGTGGCTTGTCCTGGGAGACATGAACAAATGTCTGTTTGCCCCAGACAGGCTGAAGAAATAATTCCACGCAGGTCTAGCTTAGCGAACCAGTGAGTCCAATGTGGTTCCTTATGGTGTGAGGTTACTTGAGTATGGGAGACTCACAGGCAGCTGTGTCACTGGCGTTCCCTGCTCAACTTGCAGGCAGCTACAAAGAAGCGTCTCCTCCCACGATCAACTGCCACCGCTCATATTATCTTGGGGAGGGGCTTAGTGACTCTTAGCCTTCTGAGTTCCCCCAGTCTTGTAAGTCTCTGACTCTGGAGTCATAGGACCTTCCCTCTAGGAGGGAGAGTTGCAGTTGGCAGTTAGCTACATAACTAATCAGAAATTAATGCACACAGATACAAGCTCACTAATTCTGCAGGGATACAGAAACTGCAAGTGCACAGTACTGAATCTAAGAGATGGGTGCACCCAGATGCATGTTCACTAGTTTTTACTGACTATGAGTGCATGCATAATAAACACTCACTAATTCTCTAGGAGTTCTTCCTCACACCACCAATGTTCCAAGTATCTCATGGGGTAGTGTGGAAGACTGACCCCGAAGTCAGAATCTCCCATCTCCAGTGCAGTAAACTCAGCTACAGTTGGCTTTGCTTTAAGCTGCCAAGTCCATCCTAGAGTTTCCATTGCAGCCTTGGTCCTGGACCCTGGGCAGGAGAGGAGGCTTCGGGACTGGATCACCTTTTCATACTGTGCACCTCCCTCACCCTGATGAAGAATGGAAGGCAGACATGCCCAATAAAAAACCTGGGGCTCCAGGGTGCGTCCTACACATAACATTTTTTTGTTTGTTTGTTTGTTTTTTGAGACAGGGTTTCTCTGTGTAGCTTTGCGCCTTTCCTGGAACTCGCTTTGGAGACCAGGCTGGCCTCGAACTCACAGAGATCCGCCTGGCTCTGCCTCCCGAGTGCTGGGATTAAAGGCGTGCGCCACCACCGCCCGGCTAACATTTTTAACAGCAAGGCTCACCTCTGTTGCTGAGATAATTCAGCAGAGAGTAAGGAATCTGTGTCTTCCTTCTTCAGACTATTTAGTTTTACGGCTCTAAGGTGAATGTGGCTGGGGTTTGGGCCACCTTCTTGCTCTAGGATGAGCTACCCTGGGTCATGCTCCACAGAGACAAGTACGAATGCTGCTTATGTCCCCTTTGTCTCCAAAAGCTTAATGATGGAGACGCTCCAGCTTCCACATTGA